GCTGAGTCAACCCTGAGCCGGTGAGATTTGAACCGCTGACCTGCTGATCTAGCAGTAGCCTGCAGTGCTGCATTTAACCACTGCGCCACCTTGGCTCACGCCGACTGCTTCCATGACTCCATCCAGCCACCTCATTCTCTGTTGTCCTCTTCTTTAGCCCTCAATCTTTCTCAGCATTAGGCTCTTCTCCAGTGAGAATACATATGTGTGAATACTGCATATAAAACAATTACAGTAAAGAATTACCATATTTCATAGTAATTATCCTTACATAGTCTTCATGTATAAGCAATTCATAAGTTGCAAATAACATCAAGTTTTCCATTCATTGAGTAATTGAGGCTGTGTAATGAATGCTTGGAGATATACCTTTGCTTTTAAAACTTTCCACCAGAGACCTAGGTGTAACCACTGGCTGCTACAGTTGTAACTGTTAGGCAGATTGTGAATTATCAGATGAATTCACAATGTCATATCAAGTTGGCTCTGCTTGTGGTCTTATATGAGGTATCATTCTTCAGTGTATTAAATAATAGGAAAAAAATTGAGGACTCATTTTTTTTCCTTCAGTGGAGGAAATGCAAGCGTTTTATGTCTTTGCTTAAAGACATCATCTTTTTCATTTACCCACTCTTCTTGGTTAGCTTTCTGGGGATCAACATTCTTACCGCAGAACAATAGCATTCATCCAGTTCTGGAAAAGGTCACGCTCTCCCTAAAGGTTTGAGTTTGGCGCTTAGGGGGTGTTTTAGATCCATTTCTATCTGAGCCTCAAGTATCCTCCATGGAGCTAACCCTACTTGGATAGAAATAGCTTCACTTCAGTTAATCTTATGTCAAGCTGTTGCCTTGGTTGCTGTAATATAGGTTATGGGGGTTTGCCCTTGAAGAAACTTCAGTTTCTAAAAAATACAAGGGTGTTGCCTGGAGCTACATGTTAAGAACCATAAAGTCCCAGTTTCATTTAATAGGAAGAGGAATGAATATGAAGTAAACCACCTTGAATTGTTCATAAAAATAATGAAGGCAGGAGAGAGAGGGGGAGGGAGGGAGGGAGAGAGAGAGAGAGTGGGGGAAAGAAAGAGAGAGACAGAGACAAACAGTTCAGGGAAAGTTTTCTTCTGAATGGAGCATCAATAAATTCAGTAGTGCAGGCTGCTTCTGCTGACTGCTGGCTGTCTGCAATTTGGCAGATCGAATCTCACCAGGATCAAGGTTGACTCAGCCTTCCATCCTTCCTAAGTTGGTAAAATGAGGTCCCAGATTGTTGGGGGCAATATGCTGGCTCTGTAAATTATTTAGAGAGGACTGTGAAGCGGTATATAAATCTAAGTCTAGTGCTGTTATTGTTTGTTTGTTTGTTTGTTTGTTTACCTGATCTATCAAATTTTAAAACCTCCCATCTGTCTTACAGAGGGACCCTGGATGGTACATAAAACATTGAGACATAAAAGCAGTATATAAAATTTAAAAAAGATGAATTATGAAATATGTCCTTTTTCTTTTGTAATTCCAAATACTCTTTTGCTCAAAGTGACCCTTTTCAGTACAGTCTGCACAAACTTAACACTTGCATTCCCAGTTGTCTAGTGGCTTAGACCCAGTAATGTAGCGTAGGCTCTCAATCCAGGGATTGCTTGCTCTGATTGACTCCTGGTTTGCAGCATCCTGGTTTGTCGGCTGGAAAATTGCACTGCCCTCCTTTGTTATTTTGTAACATGATATCAACATTATGGGTAGGTGGGTAATTTTTTTTTCTGAAGTTCACCCAGTAGATTTAATTTAATGATTTGGTTAATATTAAAGTTAGGCTAGGATTATAGTTATAATAACTGTGCTTCCCCCCAGAAATGACTGTGTTTGAGCAGATGTTTCAATGTTTGAAATATTTGAGGAAAATTACAAGCAAAATACAATGCTACTGTGGAAATAGTAGTGCAGATTCTTTTATTCCTAGCAAATAAGAGTCCCTTAACTTCATTTAAACAGTAGCTTTCTATTTTCTCTTTTTAATCTGCGTAGAATTCAACATAGCTTCCTGAAATAGCTCTTCAGTTATTTTTGTTAAACGTTACAATGTAATTCAACTGAATGAAGTATATGCAGATACGAAGCAGCAATTACGGCATTCAGCTTCCCCTTTGATTCACAAAGTTAGGGATTTTGCCCTGCTAGAACTGTAAATGCCAGCTGGTGGTTGGAATCTAAATGCTAGTTGGTACTTTGAAAGTGGAGATCTTTAAACTAATTAAGGGTTTTTGAAATATGTCAAGCAGTTTGACAGTCTGTGAAAATTCACAGATGCTGAATAATGCTAAGAAGCACAACCAGGGTACAGAATGTAATAACATTCTGTAACCCTCTGGAAATGTGCCTACTATATTCTGTCCAGGCCATTTTCCTTGCTAGAATCCAGGTCAAAAGTGTAGTATTTTCCCTTTGTGGATTCCTGCCTTGACCAATGCTTGCAGCATCACACCCAAACCTGGCTCAGCCATTTATGCAATACTTTTTGGAGGTTTTTGAGAATTGGGCATTTTCATGCTAGGGAACTGAATGTAGACCTTGTTGACCATGGAACAGCTTTGAAACATGAGGCAAATATCCTGGCTGGACAAAGAATTGCTGTGTTAAACTTTCACCTCAAATACGGCATTTATCTATAGAAGAAAGGTGATTACTTTCTTATGTTATCTTTTAGGCGGCATTATTTTATTTATTTTGTCAAGCATGTATTAGATAATGTATAAGTATAAACATGATTTTGGATACATGAAATGGATACGAATAAAAAGAAATATTAGGACAGGGATAGTAGACACATTGGTGCGCTTATGCAAACTCCTTACAGACCTCTTAGGAATGGGGTGAGGTCCACAAGAGACAATCTAAGGTTAAAGTTTTGGGGGTTCGGGGAAGAAACCACAGAGTCAGGTAGTGCATTCCAGGCATTGACCACTCTGTTGCTGAAGTCGTATTTCCTGCAATTGAGTTTGGAGCGATTTACCTTAAGTTTGTATCTATCGTGTGCTCGTTGTGGTTGAAGTTGAAGTAGTCATTGACAGGTAGGACATTATAGCAGATAATTTTATGTGCCACGCTTAGGTCAGACCGAAGACAGCATAGTTCTAAGTTGTCTAAGCCTAAAATTATGGGGAAAGATTCGTCAAAGTACTATATATAAATGATCAAGTATGGGGAAAGCATTTCATACACAGACAATCTGACTAGCTGATTTTGAGTTGAGTATTATCAGTGAAAATCTGTGTTTTGTTCAGGCGCAGGCCTCCCACTCCTCCCATCATTCTCTACAAGCACAATCCTGCAAGAGAGACATCTACTGAGCTCAATGTTAGATGATGGACCTGTGGTAGGACCTCCTAAGCCCTAGCCCAATGCCTAAAACATTACACCAAGTTCTCCTAGGCGCTGCTTGGAGTGTCCAAGCACAGGTTAACTTCAGCTTGCTGTCCAAGGACTGAGTTTAATATTTTTGGTGGCTCTGCCTCTTGCTCCCCTGAGAGGCTCAGTTTTAAAAAACTCAGTCGCCCTACAGGACGCATTTTGGAGAGATCCAGTCCTTGTGCAGCAAGCTGGTTCCCCTAGTCAGTGTAGTGTAGCTCCTAGATTTTTATTTTAGTGTTGATAGTTAGTTTAGACCTTCTGAATTTCCTTTAATTTCTTCTCTGTTTCAGTTCGGCTTTTCATTCACTTTAAAATCAGCTGTTTGGCGTGAGGCAGGCTTCCTGGAGCGAGGCTGCCTTTTATCTATTGTAAAGGCTCCTGGTTGCCATGGGGAGGCTCGTTAGCAGCTGCTAACGAGCCCAGGGGACAGATAGAGAGGTAGGGTCCCCAGTGCGAAGCATTAGGCTCTCCAGTTTCCCCCAGTGTTGCTCCAGGTGCGTGCGTGCATTGTGGCTGCCATTTTGGACTCAAATTTGGCGCGCTTTTTCTCCGAGGCTCTGAGCATTGCCGCACTGCCTGTCCTCATTCTCAGATCACCGCGGAGAGTGCTTAACGCAGGGGCCTAGCTTTGGGTTGCCAGGCAGGCTCCCCTCTCCCCTGGATTATTCCAAGCGGCTGCAGGGGCTCTTCTGGCTGCCACCTGGCCATTCTCCCTTGCTAATGGTGCAGATCTGCAGGCTCCTGGCCTCTCATCAGCCAGTGCCATTCATCCCAGCTCCACTTGCCTAGAAGTCAGCAATCTTCCACCGGCCTGACTCCTGCAAGGTTTATTCTCTCCTCTCACCAAGAGATTGCTTAATCTGACAACTTCTGCAGCTACCACTCATCTCCTCTGTCAGAAGATGGAGCATCAGGTGGAAAAGCAAGCTGGGCCCACCACTTCCAAATGCAGCAGGCCCAATCCTGCTGCCAAAGGTGATGGGGTGGGGTGTCCAACTAAGGGAAAGTGCCCCAGAGTCAGCAAGGCCTCTAAGGCAGATGAGAAAATTGCTGAAAGACGGCAGAAGGCACTTGAAAAGCAATTTCAGAAGGCCCAAGCTGCACAGCAGCAACTACAGGCAGGCCCCAGTCCCAAGGATGTTGAGACAGGGCCTTCCCTTCCTACTCCCCAGCAGAGGGCTCCCTCTACTTGCCTGCTGAGGAGGACTTTGGGTTCTCTCCCAATCCTTCTAGTGCCTCCATGCCCCCCCCCTGTCATTCTCTGGTTGAGGATTCCCTTGATGACGGTGACTCCCTTGCTGGGAAGGAATCCTTGGCTCCCTCTGAAGCTGAGCTAGTCCTGCCTCAGGCCCAGGAGTCCCAATTGTCCAAATCCATGCAGGATGTGGTGGCACGTGCAATCTCTCAGGGTATTTCAGATGGGATCCAGCAGTTGGCCTCAAAATTACCCTTTGCCACTGCTATTGTCTCCACTTCTCCCAGGGAGTCTGGCAGTTCCAACAAGACTCATGCCCCTCGATCTCAGGAGCCCCAAGTTAGGGAGGCTTCTCTGGCCCCTACTGGGATCAGTGAGGTGTCCGATGGGGAGGAGGCAGAGCTAGACGCTCCGGACCTCTCAGAGGATGAGAATTCCGCCCTCGAGGCGCCTGTCTCTTCGGGTTTCTTCAACCCCTCCTTGTTTAGGGCTATCCTAACCAAGGCTAGGGTGATGGCACCCCAGATGGGTCTGCCGGCTCCAGCAGAGAAAGTCCCTCCAGCTCAGGGTACCAAGGAAACCATTGGGCTCCAGGACCCGGGTGCGGGATTGTTTAAGGAGGCTTCCCCTCCTCTCGATCTGGTTCCAGCTCCTCAGCTGTTTTTGGACATCATTCAACATCAGTGGGCCCAGCCGGATTTCATGGCCAATCCTAGTGGCACTGACAAGAAGCTCTATTCTATGGAGGGCCCTCTAGAGGAACTGCTTAAGTTTCCCCAGGTAGATGACCCCATTGTCTCCCTCATGTCTAATTGCGCCTTTCCAGCTGATTTACTGGAGGGTTTAAAGGCAGAAGACAAGAGGGCAGAGTCGGTCCCCCATAAGACCCACCAGGCCACGGCATGGGCCATGAAGGCTTCTGTATCTTCCTAGTATTTTGGTAGAGCGGCCCTGTTCTGGTTACGTAAGTTATTAACCGACCTCCTTGCGGGGAACACCAGGGCTAGACAGGACATTAGAAAGATAATAGTGGCCGTGGAATATTCTGCCAATGCCTCCCTTGCCGCCACCAAGTTCTCTTCTAGAGCCCTTGCCTCCAACGTGACTTCACGCCGTCTGCTATGGCTTCGCCACTGGCAGGTGGACGTTAAAACCAAGTGGAAGCTAATTTCTGCTCCATTTAAAGGGGGAAAATTGTTTGGGGAGACCTTGGACCCCTTTCTAATGGAGTCCAAGGACAAGTGCAAGATTTTGCCCCCAGTCACTAAGAAACTGAACCGTAAGGGGCAGCCCATTCACCGCAATTCCTTCTACCTCCTCGAGGGGGGGAAGAGGGAACAATCGGTCCTACCCTCCATCCCAGGACCGCTCCCAGGATAGATCTTCCTTCAGGGTTAGGGGCAGACAGCAGGGCTTCCGTAAACCAGGGGGGGGCGGTATTCCAACTGTCCCTTCCAGAAGTCAAAGTGACTGTCATTGGAACCCTCCCATTCTGAACACGGTCCATCATGGTTTGACCCTGGAATTCCTTTCCTTCCCTCCAAGGACCTTTGTCTGTTGCCCCACTCCCAAGTTAGCCCACAAGTTCCAGCTCATGAGGGCGGAGATAGATCACTTGCTAGAGATAGCAGCTATAGAGAAGGTTCCTGAGGGCCAGGAGGGCAGGGGTTTCTACTCCATCCTGTTTCTGGTCCCCAAATCCTCTGTGTGTGTGTGTGTGTGTGAGGGCAATACTGGACCTCAAGAAGCTCAACAAGCATCTGGTGTACAAGCGCTTCAAGATGCAGTCCGTTCAGACCATCCTGGGCTGCATCAGGCAGGACGACCTCTTGACCTCAATAGATCTGAAGGAAATGTACCTGCATGTCCCGATCCACCCGGCGCATCGCAAGTTCCTGAGGTTCCAGTTTGCCAACCAGCACTTCCAGTACAGGGCCCTCCCCTTCGGGCTCTCATCGGTCCCTCAGACCTTTACCAAGCTGCTGGCTGCCATCACTGTGCATTTGCGATCCATCCCGGTGAGACTGGAATGCTACCTGGACAACATCCTTATTCACTCGTTGTCCAGGGAGCAGGCCCAGAGAGACCTTCTCTCAACTTGGAGAAGAGCCACCTTACTCCTTCCACCAAGATCAACCACCTGGGGGCAGTGATAGATTCCTCTTCATGCATGGTATTCCTATCCCGAGACAGGGTAGAGGCTCTAAGGTCATTGACACACAAGGTGATCTGTGCGAGGCAGGCTCAGGTGGTTCTCTTGTCGCAGTTGCTGGGGAAGATGATTTCATGCCTGTCAATTGTTCCCTATGCTCAGCTCCACTCAAGGGCTCTGCAGTGGCTGCTTCTGCCCCACCAGAAAGCCAACAGGAGAAACTCGACCATGCTGATTCCCGTGCCTCTGGCCGTGAAGAGGTCCCTCCAATGGTGGACGTCACCTCAAGGGACACCTCTTCAGGGAGCCCGACAGGGTGGTCGTTACCACCGACGCCAGTCTCTCCAGTTGGGGAGCGCATCTGGGCCAACTCGTGGTCCAAGGCAAATGGTCTGCGTCAAGAGTCCCGCTGCAGCATCAATCTTCTAGAACTGAGGGCGGCAAGGTTGGCCCTTCGTCATTTCCATCGGTCGATTCGCCGACGTCACAACCTCCTGATGACGGACAACGTGGCCACCAAGGCGCACATAAACTGCCAGGGTGGCACCAGATCCAAGCAGCTGATGGCGGAGACGGAAGCACTGGGCCGCTGGGCGGAGTGCCACCTGGAGTCCATCCACTCCGATCACATCTCGGGCATCGACAACACCCGCGTGGACTGGCTCAGCAGGACTACCATCAACCCTGCCGAGTGGCAACTCGACTCGGCCCTCTTCCGCTGCCTGACCTGCAGGTTCGGTCTGCCACTGATAGACCTCTTTGCCACCAGGGAGAATGCCCAACTAGAGAGGTTCTTCTCCTGATTTCCGACCCCGGGGGCAGAAGGAACGAACGCTTTGTGGTACCACTGGTCCCGGGGTCCGCTCTACACCTTCCCTCCTCTTCCTCTCTTGCCGCAAGTCCTATCCAAGATCATTGCGGAGGAGGCGGAAGTGATTCTCGTGGCTCCCCATTGGCCCCGGAGATCGTGGTTTGCTGACCTAGTCAGTCTGTTGATATCACCTCTGTGGTGGATCCCTCCAAGTCAGGTCTCCCTCCACCAAGGGGTCGTTGTCCACCCGGAACCCCAGTGGCTTCAGTTGGCCATCTGGCACTTGAGGGGGACCTGCTGAGTACCGAAGGTCTATCGGACGAGGTGGTACGCACCATACAAGCTGCTTGACGTCCCTCCATGATGAAAATCTACGATGCCACATGGGCCTCCTTCGCCAGATGGTGTGAGGACCGTCTCATTGATCCGGTTACTGCGCCTGTGTGCTGATTTTTGGACTTCTTGCAAGGGGGCCTTGAGAAGGGGTTGTCCCCGAATATGCTGTGGTGCCAGGTGGGGGCTTGTCCACTGTCTGGTCTGGGGATCCTTCCTTGTCTCTCAGCAAGATCCCCAGGGTACGCTGTTTCCTGAAGGGTGCCTTGAACCTACGTCCGCCCACCATCCATCGGTACCCTACCAGGCAGCTGTCCGTGGTGCTCCAAGTGCTCACCGCTCCACCTTTCGAGCCACTGCATTCCGTTTCTCTTCGACACCTCACGCTGAAGACGGCCTTCCTGATAGCCATCACCTCTGCCCGCCGTATCTCCGAGTTGGTGGCCTTGTTGGTTCGTCAGGACCTTTGTATTGTACATCCCGATAGGGTCGTCTTACGACTCGATCCTTCCTTCATTCCGAAGATCAACACCCGCTTTCATAGGGCACAAGAAGTCATTTTGCCGAGGTTTTGTCCGCGCCTTTCTCATGCGCGGGAACACTCTTGGCACACACTGGATGTTCGGTGGGCCCTGAAGGTCTACCTCCACCGGACCTCGGACTTCCGTCAGTCTGAGACCTTGTTCATTTCTTTCCAGCCTGGTTCTCTGGGCAAGAAGGTCACCTCCACCACCGTGGGAAGATGGTTGAGGGCATGCATCGCCTCCACCTATGAAGGCCAATCTTGGGTGGTTCCACGTAACATCACTGCCCACTCTATGAGGAGCGCCGCCACTTCGGCGGCCTGGGCCACTCAGGCTTCGATCGAAGAGATCTGTTGGGGGGGGGCACATGATCTTCTCCTTCTCCTTTCATCATACATTACAAGTTTGATGTATTTGCTTCGGCTGAGGCGGCCTTCGGCAGGAGAGTGCTCCAGGTGGTTGTTCATGCGACTGAATCCCGGGACCTTGTTTCTGCCCGCCCCGATCGACAGTAACTTGGGTATGTCCCATTGCTTGGACTCTCCAAGCGGTGCACAGGAGAAAGACCATTGGCTTACCTGAAGGGTCCTTCTCTGTGCATCGTGGGAGAGTCCAACCCACCCAGTTTGTCCCAGGATGCATGATGACATTGTCTCCTGACTTGGACTTGGTCTCCTTTTATGACATCCTCACGGTCTAGACTATTCTATTTTTTCTGGAGAACGTAGCCACGTAAGGAGGCGTGGCCAGGGAAAAGACTTCTTAGTCCAGGGCAAGCAGACTGAAATAACCCATTGCTTGGACTCTCCCGCGGTGCACAGAGAAGGACCCTTCAAGTAAGCCAATGATCTTTACCTGATATGCCTCTTCTCATAGTGGGGGAAGAGTATCCAGGATGGGTTGACCTTATCCTCTCGTTGATTGGATTGAGTCAGATAAGCTCTTGGGATACTCCCTTGGTCCACCAGGCACTGCCCAGTTATCGGCGAAGAACTCTATCTGACCCGTTGTGCCATCCACTCCAGACCTTGTTAAGGTTTCAAACTTTTTATTGAATTATAACTTGAACATATTAGTACAACCTCCGTCATAACACATGTTATATTATCATGACAGGGAGGGTTTGAATACTTCTGCCCACTATGAGAAGAGGCATATCAGGTAAGTGCCAGCGCCCTTTCTCCATAGTGAGGGGAGGAGTATCCAGGATGGGACGTACCAAAGCTAACACATCCCTAGGGAGGGTAACATACTGATGGCCCATGGCCAAACGATGCCTGGTGGGGTGTGTCCCCCCCCCCCCTATGCACTTCCTGTAATACCCTGCGACCAAATGATGCCTCCGCCGAGGCAAAGGTATCTAATTTGTAGTTCCTCACGAAGGGTGAGGGGGAAAACCACGTGGCTGCCCTACATATTTCTGTCAATGAGGCCTGCATTGCCCAGGCCGCAGTGGTGGCCGCACTTTGTGTGGAGTGTGCTGTGATGGGGTTCAGTTCCTGCAGCCAGAGTAGGGAAGATCTTTTGAAGAAGGAGGCAGTGGTGGCTGACTTCACCGCTCAGGATACTGCTTGATGCCTCTTTGGAGGGTGAGGTCCGCCTTCCTGTCCTCTAACTTCAGAGCCTCCTCTGGTTCCCCTGGCAGAGTAGGGGGGGGGGGGGGGATGTAGTACCAATACTGGAGCATCAGTGGAGGGCTGAGATAGCACCCCAGCCATGTCCTTGTCCACATTGAAGAAAGTCTTGTCTGTGGATGTGGGCATGGGCCCCGCTGTGGGTGCAGCCCATTGGCGCTTGACCGACTCAAAAAAGGCCTTGGGAGTTGGCAACGTGTCAGTCTCAATGGCCTGCTCATCAAAGATGGTTTCTGCAGAAAACCCCTGGTGCTGAGGTGGTGCTTCTGCTGCTCTGTTTCCGACCTTGGCGGCTGCTTTGGCCTTGAATAGGTGTAACTTATACAATGAAGGGTAGAACAACCCAGTGAAGGCCGGCTTAAGAGGGGGCGTGCCTTCATCTTC